CATTTGAACTCAGGTCCTTCTGACTCTGGACCTGGTGCTCTATCCACCATGCCACCTACCTGTACTTTCTGTAGGATAAAATAAAACCTTTACTGAATATTCATGTTACCTTGAACACCTGTAGTTTCTAGAGACCAACATTTGTGAAAGCTTAAATTCATATGCAAGCCATATTTGGAAATTTCCCTAAGTAAACTTTGAATGGAGGGGAAAAGGAGCCTTAGTGTCCTTTTGGAGTTAGCCCCAAGATCATACCTGGCTCATATGAGTGACCTCAAAGATGGGGGAATGGGCCATAGGTTACACTAGTGTTCACACTTGGAACCAAGAGAATACAAGAAAATTCAGGCCTTACATTTACCTCCCCCCCCCTTCCCGCCCACCTATCCCCCACCATCTTACCTGCACCAGATTCTGAAGATCTGCTCGGGACTGTAACTCTGCTGGGGCATTTTAGGACAGTGCTTTGTTCTGGAATACCCAGAGCTTTCTCAAAGGACCTTCCTTTCCCCAACTCATCTACCCACATAATTCTTTCTGGAGACCCAATACAAAATCCTTTCTGATGCTTCTGAAGATTTCCACAGTGATTTAAGGAGAATATTTTAATAATTCCTATTTATCCCTCCATATTTCTGCCTCCAGGCTTGCTTGGCTTCCTTCAAATCTCAGATAAAATCCCATCTTTTGCAAGAAGCCTTTCCCAATCCCCGTAAATGGAAGTGCCTTCCCTCTGTGGATCTCCAGTACGTCCTGGCTGCATCTTGTTTGCATGTTATCTGTCCCATCAGAATCTGAGCTCTTTGAGAGTTGGGACTTGGAGCAACCTAGGTGTCACAGTGGATAGAGCACCGGCCCTGAAGTCAGGAAGACCTGAGTTCAAATCTGACCTCTGATTAAACACTTGACACTTACTAACTGTGTGACCCTGGGTAAGTCACTTAACCTCAATTGCCCCCCCCAAAAGAGTTGGGATTGTCTTTTGCCCTTTTGTATCCCCAGCACTTAGCCCAATGCTTAGCATAGAGAAGGTGCTAGCTGCATAAATATTTGTTGACTGACTGCTCTACAAAGCATTTATTCTCAGCAACAACCCTGTAAGGTAGGGACTACATGTCTAATGATCCCCATTTTATTAATTGCAGGCTCCTTCTCCAGTTTCTCATTGTGGTGTGATGAAAAGTCCAGGGAATCTGAGGCTTTCCCAGCAGGATTTAAGCTCTGATGGCTCCTACCGAACTGGAAAGGTTCAAGGACTGAGTGTCTATTGCTTAGAGGACCTGACTCCCTAATTTGGGTGAGGCTGAGTTCCAGACCATTGGACGCCTGGTGATGAAATTTTTTTGGTCACAACAACTGGGGAAAAAACTCTTTTCCTAAGGTGGTAGAGGAGTTGTAACCTATAATGGTGGCAGGAGTACCATCCCAATGAAAGTGGTAGCTCTGGGATTGTAACTCAGGTGTCCCAATTCCCAGCCCAAGGCTCTCTGAACTGCTCCACATTGACAACAAACTATTGGTATACTGAAGAGCCCTAACCATTTTTTTAAATGACCCAAATTTTAAAAATTTAAGGGCAAACTGAAAATTCAATTCAATTGAATTGTCTAGACATTTAAGTGACTACAGTGGGCAAGGCACAGTGCTAGGTGGGGGATAAAATAAGGGTTGGGTAAATGGTTCCTCTAATCCAGGGGTGGGGAACTTGTGACCTCAAAGCCACCTGTGGCCTTCTAGGTCCTTGAGTGTGGCCTTTTGAGTGAATCCAAACTTCACAGAACAAATCCCCTTAATAACAGGATTTGTTCTATAAAACTTGGACTCAGTCAAAAGGCTACACCCAAAGATCTAGAAGGTCACATGTGACCTTGAGGCCACATCCCCACTCCTGCTTCTAAACCATTTCCCTTCTCAGACCTTTGTACTGCCCATTCCTCATGTCTGAAAAGACCCTTTATGCGTGGAATCTCTCACTTTCTCCTACTCACCTTAGGTTCCACCTTCTACAGACAGCCTTTCCTGAATCCAACACCCAACCACCAGCACTGTTAGTACCATCCCGCTCTAAACTTTTGTATTTATTGGGCACATACTTATAATATGTACCTGTTGTCTTCCCCAGGAAAATGTAAACCCCTTGAGGGTAGGGACTGTTTCATTTTGGTCTTGGTATCTTCCAGTGCCTAATGATATGCACTGGGCCTGGCACATAGTAGGTGTTTAATAAATGCTTGTTGATTGAATGCTTTTAAGAAACTTACAGTATAGTATAGTAAGGAGATAAAAAAAATGTTCACACTCATCTGGGGCCATTTCCCCAGATTGCACTTACATTCTGGGTCTCAGAAAGGTAGCTGCTACTCCCTTCATGGTTTTAGGATTACCATTTCTAATACCATTGCCCATTACCCCCGCCTTCTTGTACTTCCCATTGTAACCAGTCAGTAGACATCATTTAGCTTTTTAACAAAGGATGTTTGCTAAAAAAAAAAAAGGGATAGTAAGAATGGTTGATATGAAACATTTCCCTAGCCCTACAAAAGTTTAGGGCACACTTTCCCGCAAGTACACACAGGTCCATGAGAAGAATGAGTTCTAATTGTAATGACCACATGTGGCAAAAGGATAAATGTAACTCCTGTTGACTGTAGCTGTATGTATCCTTATTTGTCCTGGCTGTGTATCACTCTGCTCTGAGTTGGATACTTTTTCTCCTACTTGTCTAGTCTCTTGGAGGACCAACGTGGGGTGAAGGTGGGTCATACTCTTTCATCACTACCCATCGCTTACTGCTCTTTGATGTAGGTAGAAGGCTCCACCTCTTTAAAGTTATCCCAGTCCTGGAGTCCTCCACCAATGGACTTTTTTGACACTGGATCGATGAAATGTTGAAAATCTTTTGCTACTGTAAAGTACCCAGCCAGTCAACTAATAATTATTTATTTATCTTTTATTTTGTTAGAGGCATTGTGCTAAGGGATGGGCATATGAAGACAAGCAAAAATGTGGCTCCTGACTTCAAGTGAAAACTCACATTCTAATGAGACAGACAATATGCAAATAACTGTACATTCAAGATACATACAGTTTAAATGGAAGGTAATGTTAAAAAGGAGGGACCAGTGGCTGGGGGGCCTGGGAAATATCTCCTGCAAAAGGTGGGACATGAACTAAATCTAAAAAGAAGTCAGGAGAACTGAGACATGGAGGTGAAGTGAGGGGGCAGGACATTGTAGGCATGGAGCATAGCCAATGCAAATGCCTGGACTTCATTCAGGGATAGTGTCATGTGTATGTGTATGAATACCCGGGTAATAAAGTGCAAAGAGTATTGTATCATATCATATTATAAGATGGAAAAGGTAGGAGAAGGCTAGGTTGTTAAGTCAAACAAAAGATTTTCTTTTTGGTCCTAGAGATAATAGTGAACCATTGGAGGGGAAGGGAAACTTCTTTCATTAGACACAGATACTTTGGAGACGGCAAATAGTTTGTGTTTAATACCTGTTTGATTGATTAATTTTTTAGGTATGATGTGGGGAATGACTCAAAGGTAGGAGGAGGTAGGGTGTGTTTAGGGGTCAGAGAGTAGCTCAGTTTTACAATGAAAAGGGCACTAGATTTGAGTGTCAGACTGGGGATTCACTCTTAGCCCTACTAATTGCTACCTGTGTGATAATGGGGAAGCCCATTAACTCTATTTATACTCAGTTTCTTCGTCAGGATGAAGTTCCTTCATCTTCTTCTTCATCCCCTTATCCTAAAATAAGAGCACCAGATCAAATCATCACTACCATTCTCTCCTATAATCCTCCATGAAATAAAATTGTAAAGGTAAGTTGACATCAGATTGATTCTGGACCACCTTGAATTCTGGGTAAGAAAAGAAGGTTAACATTAAATAAGAAATGTTAAGTGGATAATGCAATTGCATCATTGGAAAATTTAACTCCTTTCAATTTGAAAAAGAAAAGAAAAGGTTAAACATGGTAAAATATGATCAAAATAAAAGATAATTTATTTTGAAAGTAAAGATTTCTAAAATCTTGCCTTTCCCTTTTATATTATGATAGATACCCATCTTTGGAGCTTCTCCTGTAACAACAAAACCAAATCTGAAGTTGAACAGAATCAATATCGAAACCCCATCTGAAAGCATTGGCACCATTCCACACCTGTAGTCTCCCACCTCTCTAAACAAGAGGAGGAGAAATGTGTTTTTCATCCATCTATTCCTTAGGCTTGAGACTGGTCATCTGAGTAGTAATTCATGGCCATGGCCCTCTAGCTCTGGGTTTACACGGAGTAGGTTACACCTTAGGGACTGACCCCACGTTAGTTCTTGCTGCCTCCCCTCAGTTGACTCTGGGCAATTGCTCGGTGTTGTTTGTTCATGTCTAGGTCTCCACAAATGCAAGTAGCCCAACCTCTTCGCTTCCATACCAAGGCTCTAGGTAACAATGGTATCGACTGGTGTTGTCCTTCAGTCTTTTTTCCGTGTTTGTGACTCCATTTGGGGTTTTCTTGGTAAATATACTGGAGTGGTTTGCCATTCCCTTCTGGCACATAGTAAGCACTTAAAAAAAATACTCATTTCCTTCCTTCTATTAGAAGGCATGCTCTGTGGAAGCAGGGATTATCTTTTTGCTTATTTTCCTATCCCCAGAAGTTAGCACAGTGCCTGGTACACAGTAAGCATTTAATAAATGCTTGTTGCTTACTTGCCTGTTGCCTCAATAACCCATGGTAATAGCAGAGAACAAGTCCAAGTTTGGGTCTTTTACTCCTTCATGACTTTGTCTCTTAACTTTCTTCCCAGGCAGAGACCACGTGGGTGGCTGGTTGTTAATTATTTCCTATTTATCCTCTAGGTAGCTAGCTTTGTATATATTTGAATGTCGGCACCCTCATTAGATTGTAAGCTCCTTGAAGGCAGGGACAAGTCTTTTGCCTCTTTTTGTATCCCAGGCACTTAGCACAGTGCCTGGAGCATGGTAGGTACTTTAATGTTTATTGATTGATTTCCTTAGAAAAGGGAAAAAGAAAAGCAAAGGTAAGCAAAAACTCTGCTCTCAGGATTTGAGGTGTGTCACGGATAACCACTGATATCTTCTGGGTTGGTGGGTGAGCCCTCTCACCAGAAGAAAAAAAGATAGGGAAAAGTTGAATCAACAAGCATTTATTAAGTTCTGGGCTAAGCCTGAGAAAGCATGGAAAGGCAGAAACAAAACAACACAGCAGTTCTGCCCTCAAGGAGCTCACCATCTAATGGGAGAGGCAATATGAAACAACTGTACAGGCAAAATACAGACAGGATAAATTGGAGATCATCATCAGAAGGAAGGTGATAATATTAAGGAGGATTGGGAAGGGGTCTTACAGAAGCTGGGATTTTAATTGGAACTTGAAGGAAGCCAAGGGAAGTCAGGAGGTGGAGATGAGGAGGGAGAGCTTTCCAGGCATGGGGAACAGAGACAGAAGGTTATATAGACAATGAGGTAAAACAGAGCACTGGCTCTGAGGTTGGAGGATCCACATTAGGTTCAAATTTCCTGCCTCTATGACCTTGGGCAGTCTCTCTGCCTCTCCACGCCTCAGTTGCCTCATCTGTAAAATGAAGGTGTTGGATTAGATGAACTCTGAGATCCTTTCTACCTCTAAGCCTATAATTCTATGATCCATTTAAATCCAACTTGAATTTATTAAGTGCCTGCTGAATACCAGGCACTGCTTTGGGTGCTGGGAATATAGAGTAAAAAAAGAAACAACAGTAGCCTGGCCTTTGAGGAACTCTGGTTCTTCATGTACATAGATAAACAAATACAAGATATGCACAAAATAAAATCAGTCATTTGGGTTGCTCCGTGTACACTAACAATTGGGGGGCATCAGGAATGGTCTCTTATAGGAGAAGACATCTGAGCTAATTCTTGAAGGGTGTGATAAGAAGTGTGATAAGAGATAGGGGAAGGGATGAGGTAAAGTGCTGGATCTGGAGTCAAGGAGACCTGAGTTCAACGTTCAATCTCAGACATTATCTGTGTGGCTCTGGGCAAGTCACTTAACCTCTGTCTGCCTCAGTTTCCTCATCTGTAAAATAGGGATAATAATAGCACCTACCTTTCGGTGTTGTTGTGAGGATAACAGGAGATAATACTTAAAAATTTTTTTTTTATTATTTTATTTTAATTTATCCACAATCATAAGCTTTTGAGTTTTAAATTTTTGTCCCCCTCCCTCCCCAAGATGAGATAATACTTTTAAAACCCTTTGCAAACCTTAGAGTGCTATATAAATTCTATGGTTATTATTATTATTATTGTTATTCCAAGCATGGAGGACACCGTTTATAAAGGTACAGAGGGAGGAGGTAGGATGCCAAACGCAAAGAAGAGGAAGGAGGTCGCTCCAGCCAGCTGTAGTTAGAGGAGTGAAGAAAAGTAAAGGGTAGGGGTGGGAGTGAGCCAGATTGGGAAAGGCTTTAGATGTTGAAGAAATTTCAATTTTAAGCTAAGGGCAATGGAGAGCAGCTGATGTTTCTGAAGGGAAGCGACAGGGTCAGAACTGTGAAGAGCTACATTAGGGAATTTAACCACTTTTAAAAGTCTTCCCACACTGCCAATACCTTCTGCTGAGATTACTTTCTATTTTCCCTGTATATTTCATGTGAGGTGTATGGGGTGCTCAGGAAGAACCAACAGCTCTGGTGGGAGGGCTTTGCTGAGCTCTTTTCAGGGCTGCTCATCTGCCTTGGTCTCCACCTTCACCCAACTCTCACCTGTGGCTCCAAGAAGCTGTAGCATGCCCAGGAGACACACCTTGGTAAAACCTTCTCAGCAGACGGGCTAAACCAGGTAGAGGGTAACCAACTGGCCTCAGATCTGTAGAGTTGTCTACCCCCAAGCATGTGAAGACTTTCCCCGTTGAATGATCCGATGAGAACAATTTGTTCCAACGGCCATGTTCCAAACAGGTACTGTGCAGTGCTTAGAGCCTGGTTAGACATGGAAGATGCCAAGGTCATCTATTGCATCCTGGGCCACTGATAGTCATCTTGACTTTGAAGACTCTGGAAGAGAGAGAGGCTGATGACTTTGTGCAACTCTGCCTCACTTAAATCCAATTCACTCAAAAATCAAAACATCACCTGTGATGTTAATGGAACTCTTAGGAAAGGAAGGACAAGGGGCAGCTAGATGGTGAAGTGGATAGAGTACCCAGCCCTGGAGTCTGGAGGACCTAAGTTCACATCCAGCCTCAGACACTAGCTGTGTGACCCTGGACAAGTCACTTTGATAAGGATGGGATCTAGACCCCAAAAAGGAAAAACCCTGGACTTTCCCACATGACCAAATGTCCAGCATTTGCCTGAGGCTATAATTCATCAACTGGCCTTTCTTTGTCTCTACACCCAATCTCCCAATTCTCAGTTACCTTTAGCCTAGCCCTCCATTGTTTTACCTCCCCACTTCCCGTCCCCCCCCCCCCAGCCACTTCCCACCCTTAATCCTATCAAGGCTCTGTTCTCCCTCGGCAATGTAGTGCAGGTCTCTGGAGTTTTATTACTGCATAGACTACTTGGCTCCTCCTAGATCCCTCCCATAGTCTTTCTGTATATAAGGTCCATTTTGTCTCCATTAAGGTGCTCAGATTCTTACAATCTAGCCAATAGCTTATAGGTGCTCAGAATTCTTAAGAGTCTGGCCAATATGACGGATCTTTAATAAACCTCGTCTGGCTGAAAGGAGGATTCGGTGTCATGATTTTGGAATTGTGGCACCGCTAAACCTCTAGACCTCATCAACTTCACCCCAATTGCCTCAAAAAAAAAAGAAAAAAAAAGAAAACGAAGGACAAACAACGACAATATTTCTTGTGTGTATATAGCTATTTTCCCTAGTAAGACTGAGCTCTTTGGAGGCAAGGACCATGTCTTCAAATTTCTTTATCCTGAGTACTTAACACATAGTAATTTGATGTTATTCCCATTAATGATTAAACCAGTAAACTGATTTCTCACATCTAGTAAGTGTCTGAGGCAGAATTTGAACTCACATCTCCCTGACTCCAGGGCCAGTACTCTATTATACCACCAAAGGATCTGGGTTCAAATCACACCTCTTCTATTCCCTGTGTGATTGTGTGCAAGTTCCTTAACATCCTTGAGATTCAGGCTGGACTAGATGACATCTATGGAAAGGGATTCTCCCTCAGACAAGAGGCCGTCCGGTTTAAGAATCCCAGGCCTTGGATAAAAAGAAAGGCAAAAGCAAAGTCCCCTTTCTTCAAGGAGCTAACATTCTAATGGGGAGGGAGAGGAGAGCAGGGAGACCACAGGTGGATAACAAGGTACTTTGGGGCAAAACTAAAGATAGTCACCTTCCAGAAGGTGCTGGGGGGATGGGAGGGGTCCAATCTGGAAAGGCCTCCAGCTGGAGGTGGGAATTTGAGCTGAGCCTTGCAGGAAGCTGAGAAGCCAGAGGTGAGGAAGAAGAGAGCATTCCAGGCATGGAGGACAGCCAGTACAAAGTAATGAAGTTGGGACCTTGAGGATTAGCAAATAGGTAGTGTAGCTGGATCATGAAGGGAAAGAGATCAAAGAAGACTAGAAAGGTAAGAAGGACTCGAAATTATAGTAGATTTTATATTTGATCTTGGAGATAATAAAGGACACCCTAGAGTTTATTGAATAGGGGGTGGGGAGAGGTACATGGTGAGCCCCATGCTATTTTTTAGCCCCGAATCTGTTCTTTGATTTATAATAAGCATAACAAGTGCAAATGAGTTTCAGTGGTGTGGAGATTTTCCCCTAAACTGCACTGCATTGTCAAAATAATCCCTCCTCCCTCCCTCCTAACCCCCTACCAATCCCCACCCTGGAGTTAAATAGGATTTATTTATTTTATTAGCACTTTAGAGGCTGCAGGGCAATCTACATACTTGATCTCATTAAAAAAATTTTTTTTTTGCTACAGCCAAAAAAAGCTACCCCAGTCCCTGAATCCTAATCCAGAGATACCTATAGTGTTGTCCTCCATAAGGTTCCCAAGAGCACAATCTCCAGCCCCAAAGTTAGGTGGGCTGGTAGACTCCCAAATGATAAATAAGTACAAAACAAAAGCTCACCTTCCAGTAAGGTTGTTTGGGGAACTCCCATTACAAGATTAATCAGAGTCAAGCCTGGGAGGCAGCCGCCTTTTGGTGACCCGGTCACATCCCTGACCGGCTACTTTGTTCTGCAGTTTACTCGGCACCAATTCACACATGCTTTCCCATGTTTCTCTGCACTTCCCTTTTTTGTTGCTTCTTCCATCCCAATAATATCCCCTTACATTCGTCGCCCACAGTTTGTTCAGCCATTCTCCAGTCCTTGGGCACCGGCTTTGTTTCCAGCTTCAAGCAAAGGTTTATTTACAAAGCCCTGCATAGCTCTGAATGCCAAAAGGACCTTGAGCTGGGAGGCTTCAGAAACCGCGTGGCTGGGAAACCTCCGGCCGGCTCCCTGGAGGGCTCAGAGGGGGCTGGGACCGGGGGACATCATTGGAAGCGCTTCCCTCCTCCCAGAGAGCTTTCTGAGAAGCAGTGCCCCCGGGGCAGTGACCCTCGAGATGAATTTATGTTCCCCTCTGCAAGTCTTAACAGAGACATCTTTTCTCAAAAGACTACAGGCTAAGAAAGGAAAGGAAACAGAGCATTAAACGCGTTATTAAGAGGGATGTTATTGGTGAATTTGGGATGAATGTATTTGGAGGATCTAGGGACCCACTGTTTATTTGGGGAGGGATATATTTCTGCCGTTCATGTGACGGGTGAATCCTATTTAACAGCCTTGCGTTAAGAAATAGAGATTTGTGAATCAGGGCTGGACGACTTGATAAATCTTGTTTTTTTTCTGATAGATTTATGAGCAAACGAGAGAGCTGACATGTCAGCATAGGTTGATGCTTCCTCGTTAGCATGTGGTTGTCTTATCAATCATATTACCTCCTAGGAGGGTGACTTAGCCGCTATTCTCCCCTTCCTTCCCCTTCTACCCCTTAGCTTCCTGTTAGCCTTTTCCCGTTTTTGTCCATTGTGTGTAAAAAAGGATCGACAGACTTGGGGAACCTTAGAAGCTGGGCCACCCCGCGGGCTGGAAGCAGTCGTGGGGTGTATTTGTCCGATTCTTCCTTTGGCCTGGATGCAGAGTTCATTTGGTGGTAACGAAAGTAAGGGAAGACCAAAGAGCTTGTTTTTTCTCCTGTCTCTCTGGAACTGCTCCCCTCCGGCCCTCAGATAGGTAGCAGTCATGGGACTGTGATCAGTGAACAGATATTTATTCATTACTCATTGATACCTGCCTACTATTGGGAATGCTGTGGCCAATATGTACTGCCTCTTCAGTAATAAGCTAAGCAAGTTTAAGTTGGACTTGAAGGTTCATGCCCTGCTAAAATTACAATTTTAAAAGAAGGAGCCACGTCCTGGTCCTGGTCCTGGTGGCTAAAACCGGGAAAGGAAGGAAACCAGCATTTACCAGGAACCAGTATGTGACCAGGCACTGCCCTAAGGGCTTTACCAATAATTTCTTGGTTGATCTTATCAACAGCCCTGGGAGGTAGGTGCTATTATTATCTCCATTTTGCAGTTGAGGAAATTGAGGCAAGCAGAAGTTAAGTGACTTGCTCAGGGTCACACAGCCTGAGGCTATATTTGAACTCAGAACCTGTGGTCTCCTGGCCCAGTGTTCTATCTACTGTATCACCTAGCTGCTCATGGAGTTCGAATGGACCTTTGAATATAGAAAATCAGGGCTGGAAACTAGAAACTAAAATGTTGGAAATAGAAGATGCCTTAGAATCTAAACTCTGAGAAGATGGACTCTGAAATCCCTTCCTGCTCTGGAGCTAGGATCTAATGAACCAAGCAGAAGCTCTAGAAACTGAATGAGATTTCCAAAAGAAAAAATATAGCATGGGGTAGCTAGGTGGTGCAGTGGATAGAGTCAAGAAGACCTGAGTTCAAATTTGACCTCAGACACTCATTAGTTGTGTGACCCTAGGCAAGTCACTTAACCCCATTGCCTCAAAAACAAACAAATGAAAAAGTATAGCAAGGGAATAGGACCTAGAACGAAGATCAGGGGTTCTTCATGGAGGTCCTTAGACCTGGTTGTGTTTTTTTAATATTTTGATAACTATTTCAATACAATTGGTTTCCTTTGTGATACATTCAACAACAGTCCTCTGAGAAGAGGTCCAGAGGCTTCACCTGACTGCCAAAGGGGTCCATGACACAAAAAAAGGTTAAGAAACTGTCCTGTGACTTGTCAGAGCTGGGAGGAACCTAGAATAAAGAACATAGAGCGTCTGATGTGACAGAGTAAGAATTTATTAAATGCTTACAGTATGTGCAGGCATTGTGCTAGGGCCGGAGGATACAACACAAAGAAAAGATGTGTGCCTGCCTTCAAGGAGCTTATGGTCTTTTGAGGGGAATGTAGCATATGAACAAGTGAGTATATGTGGGATAATTTGAGAAGGCAGAAAGCATGAACAACAAAGGAGAAAGACTTCCCCTAGGAGATGGTGTATAAGCTCAGCCTTGAAAGGAGCTCAGGATTCTAAGACAAGGAGGAGAAGTACGGGAGAGAGACTGGGAGAAAGACTGTGACCAGATAGTGGGACAGAGGATGTCGAGTCCCATTCAGGGAGAAAGAAATAGACCAGACTGCTTGGGATGAGAGATAGTGAAAGACAGTAATGTTCAGTAAGCCTAGAGAACGACGGAGGCTGGTTCTAGAAGAGTTGTAAATGCTAGGGAAGTTTGCACTTTATCTTGTAGACGTAGGGAGCCATGAAGGGGGAAAAGCATGAGTAGGCTTGTGTCTTACAAGAGGGGAGAGACAAGAATCCAGCACTCTGACGAGGAAGCTGGTACAGTAGATTGTATGACTTGGAAATATTGCTTCAGAAACTTACTAGTTGAGTGATCTAGCATACGCCACTCGATTTCTCTCAGCCTCATTTCTTCATTGGTAAAATAGGGGCAACAATACCAACCCTCTCCCAGGGTTGTTGTGAGCATGTATAGTACTTTGCAAACTTTTAGCACATTATATAGCCACCAGTTATGAGCATTAGCTAGGTGGTGCAGTGGATAGAGTACTGGGCCTGGAATCAGGAAGACTCTTTCCTCTTCCTGAGTTCAAAACCTTCCTCAGATACTTACTAGCTGTGTGACCCTGGGCAAGTCACTTCACTCTGTTTACCTCAGTTTCCTCATCTGTAAAATGAACTGGAGAAGGAAATGGCAAACTACTCCAGTGTCTTTGCCAAGAAAACCCCAAATGGGGTCATGAAGAGTCGGACATGATTGAACAACGACAAAGTTATTAGTATCCTAGTCCAGGGAATAGGACCTTAGCTGTGTGAGTAGAGAGAAGGGGATAGATGAGAGAGATGTAATGGCTGTTTAGACAGTTGGCTGGCTGTTGTACCAAATCAAAATGACATCACTATGCTAGAGTCAAGTTACATGTAAAGGTTGTCTTCTACCTAAATAGAGAATTTTGGAGGAGGGTGAATTTCTGATAATACATTCTGTTTTGGACATATCAAAGGGGTGTGTGTGTGTGTGTGTGTGTGTGTGTGTGTGTGTGTGTGTGTGTGTGTATGCACGCATGGGCATTTGCCTAATGGATATACAATTGGAGAAATCCAATAAACACTTGGCAATTTGGACCTAGAGCTCTGAGCAAGAAGAAACCTTAGAAGAGAGATTGTTAGAGCTGAAGGGTCCTTAGAACATAGGATGTTGCTTTTGGAAGGACCCTTTGAACACAGATCATTAGATATGGCAGGAACAAACATTAGAGGGATAACAGCCAAGAAATGGTGGTAGGGCCTGGGTGGATAGCCGGATGGCCAGGTAGCTGGATAGAATGTGTGGCTGAAGTGTTGTCTAGGGTCAGTCAATAGATATAATGGATGATGGGGACTCCTTTGCCCGTGTGCAGTCACCAATCAACTGGGTAAGGCCCCAGGAAAGGAGCTCCAAAGATGAATGGATTAACTTCCTCTGGGATTTCCAGCCTGGATTTAAGATGTCCCAGATCAGTTATGGAGGTCTAAATCTCAGGTCCATTGTGGAGGGTGCTGGTCCAAGCTGGCAAGAGCAGGCCAATGTTGACATGGCCTGTGTGGAAGGCTGAATGGCTATGAATTGGTCCAAATATTCCAGAAAGCAACTAAGAATTCTGTATAAAAAGTGTCTAACGTGTCAATATTGTATGAAGATTTTACTGCCAGGCATATACTTCAAGGAATTGTCGTTATTGTTGTTCAGTCACGTCTGACTCTTCATGACTCCGTTTGGGGTTTTCTTGGCAGAAACACTAGAATAGCTTGCCATTTCTTTCTCCAGCTCATTTTACAGATGAAGAAACTGAGCAAATAGGGTTAAATGACTCACCCTGGGTCACAGAGCTAGTAAATATCTGAGGCCAGATTTGAACTCAGGAAGATGAGGAAACTGAGGCAAATAGGGTTAAGTGATTTGCCCAAGGTCACACAGCTAGTAAGTGTCCAAGGCTGGATTTGAACTCAGGTCTTCCTGACACCAGGCAGGGTGCTCTATCCATTATGCAACCTAGTTACCCAAAGAGATTAGTAATCAAAAGAATGGCCCCATACACACCAAAATATTTATAATGGGATTTTTCATGTTTTCAAAGATTTGGAAACAAAATAGATGCCCATCAACTAGGGAATGATTAAACAAATTGTGGTACATGAATGTAATGGAATGTTATTGTGTTGTAAGAAACAATGAATATGAAGAAACTTGGAATAATTTAAGAACTTTTCAAGTAAGCAGAATGAGAAAATGCTTTAAGGGGAGGTCTTGGGGCAGGGGTGTGTTCAACACAACACATATGTTCAACAGAATCTCTGAAAAAAATTTATCCAGGATACACTTTTAAGTTGAATCTGTATTATTAACAGGCAATTTAAAAAACAAAACCACCAATTTTAAACCAAGCCCTGATATGTAGTGTTTGCTGATTTCTGAGGTTTAAATGCTCACCCTGAAAATTCAAGCTGGTTTCAGCAGGACCCTGAAGGTTGGCCTCTGAAGGACAGGCCTGTGGCCACATGAATACACACCTTGGTTATCTATCTGGTTAAGCTTTTGTTTTTTCATTGTAGGTGAAGGAGAGGAATCTGGAGGTTCCAATCTTTTGAGTTTTCAAAGGTCAGGGGAGTGAGCCTCAGGGAGTCTGGGAGGCCTGTAGTAGAGCAGTGGAATCCATGCTTGGTTTTCCAGGAAGCTAGGAAGCTAGTTGATAGGACTTTTTTTTTGGCAGGCATTTGGATGTGGACTCTAGAGACTAAAGGTTGACTAGGTGGTGCAGTAGATGGAAAAGTTGCTTTGGGCATCTATTCAAATTATGCCTCAGATACTTAGCTGTGTGATACTAAACAAGTCAGCCTCATATGCCTTATCCCAAAA